ACTTACTCCCTCCTCAAACTTCTTCCTTTAATCAGTTGCTCTTCTCATGAAACCAAAACAAATGTGGGGATCTTATCATAATGACGTTGACGCTGCTGTGGCAGAAACAAGGTTCTTGGGCCAGAAGATTCCCACTACCTATGAACACATTAAACTAGTCACTCAGCCAGCACACACCCTGAGCTCATTCACAGGGCCTGGTATTGGGGTGAGTACAAAGAGGGGCTGCTGACCGGTGCCTGCTCTTTTTTGGCACAATATTACACTGCTTGTAAAATGCTATACTGCGTTACGTGGTCCTGCATTGTGTGGTAGCATCCATGTTAGGTTGTGTTATGTGCTTATTTGTTTCCTCACTGTCTCTCTGTTAAAACAAATAATAAAGGAAAGCCGGTAGTGGGAACTTTGTCACTGATCCTGCATCCCTGCCTGAACTGCTCACCAGCCACGTAACCATGGAAAAGCCCTCCAAGAGAGATCTGAGGGGAACTCCAAAGTGCCATAGCGTCCTCCTACTCTGTCACAGGGAAGCGACAGCTGCAGGTCTCTCACAGGGCTGCTGCTACAGTGGGTGAGTTCAAACTGAGGATGACACCTAGTGAGTGTCCAGTGCCTGGGGGCTGTTAGTAACGGTATAGTCTGGTGGAGGGCTTAACAGTGTCATCCCAGGAGATGGGCTTTCCCATCATACTCAGAGAGGCTCCAAGCTTTCCCCAGGCTGCCGTCCCACCACTTTCTGAGTTCAAGTCTGAGCCGAGAGGGCATTTCATCACTTTGCCACCGAGGCTGGCTCGGGGGTGGGCGGGTAACTATCAGATGAGCCAGCCCGATGTGACCTGAATTGTGACTTCCACTTCCCTCATTGGCATTAGTCTCTGACCCATCCCCTGGACCTAGCCTAGGAGGACTGAAATCAGAGATGCTCCTACCATCCTGTTCCCATAGGAGTCCTGGTTTGGAGTTGACCCAGATGGATGAAAGCCAATTCCAGTGGCAAACCCATGACCCCTGGCCCCAGCCAGGCCCACTACCAGCCTGTGCGTAGAACTTTTGGTCACATGAGCCAGGGAGCTGCCTTTTAGCTTAAATCAGTTTAGCTCAAGGATTTTTCAGCTGCAGCTCACAGAGGGCTAGGTGACTCCTCCATCCCATTGGAGATGCTGGACCAGAAGTGCACAGAGAGGCCTCCTCCCAGGCCACACATCCCATCAGGCACTGTCCTGCCTGACCACTCACCATGCTGCTTCCCAAGCTACACCTCAGAGCTCCTCAAGAGAGGCTAAGCTAGCATCGTGGGAGACCCATATCATAAAAAAAGCATCCCACAGTCATACCAGATGCCATACCGTGTTCATAGCTTCAGCTGCAAACCTGAATCTGTGCATGCCTTGAGGAATGGGCAGGATCTGGGCCTGTGGAAATGGGGCAGGCTTTGTGTTATCATCTGAAGATTATAAAATCCAGTCCCGTAAGTGTGGCTTGGAGCCTTGGGGAGCAGCTGTGACGCAGAGCTGGCATGGGCCTCTGGACAGCAGCAGACACCTCACTTGCTTCCAGCACTTAATTCCATCCCTCCCTGCACACAGTTCACCGCAGGATTTATCACATGCCACCTTGGCTCCAGGGCCTGCACATCTCAGCTGTATTTTCCACCCAGTTCCATCTTGGAAAGATACAGGCTAAGTTCCGAACCAGAGAAGCATCCTGGCAATGGAAGGTTGTCAGGCTAGAGAGAGGTGATTGTAAGAACTTCTGTGTGCAAGAGCAGAGCCAGCCACCCTGCCCCTAGCAAAGCTGTGTTTTCTGGGACATTCAGCAGCACATCCTGTGTCGGTTAGAACTTAAACACAGGTGAGGAATCTGAGAGTGCATTCAGGCCATTCTCATCGTATAAGCCCACATTGGGCACCTTCTGTGTACTAGAGGCCAGAGCCCAGGAAAGAGACAGAGAGAGGAATAAGGCTGTCCTGAGTGTCAAGGTGCTCTGGGTTTAGGAGCTAACAAGGTCGCAGCGAGGACTTGAACATAGATAAGGTCTCTGGACACCTGGCCCACAGTGGGAGCCAGAAAATAAGAAGGCTCAGGTAAAGCTTTTAAGAGGAAACTCAAGTCAAAAATTATCCAGGAAATAGGACAAAGGGCAGGGAAAGTGGGGTGAGGGTGGAATTCCAGGTGAGCAAAACCCCTCAGACTCCAGACAGAAGGAAAACACAAGACCAAATTTAAGGTAAGCATAGCTTGAAGGCTAGAGCATAAAAGGCAGGGGAGGAAACTACTTACTGATTCCCAGGAGGCCCTGGGCCCCACCCTGTGAAACAGTGTGTACAGAATGTCCCCGCTGTCCCTTCTGCATGCCAATGGATCACGTTCTTTGGATCAGTCCCTGTCAGGCAGGCACTGTGCCAACCCTCTGTATAGATGCACATCGTTCTCACCAAGCGTGTTTCTGACACTGACAGGGGAAGACATGAGGTCCACAGTCCAAGGTCACTTGTCCAAGGTCTGGCCTTGGGGGCAGACCAGGATTCATGGCCCCCCATTGGCCTGCTTCCAGAGCAAGGCGTCACCGGAGCACAAGATTCACCTGTCAGGTGACCCTCTGAAATCCATGAGTTCTTTGCTCTCCGTGCTGCCATCCAAGTCTCCAACAACATCAACCTAAATGAGTGGCAACTCCAGTCTAGGACACAGAGAGTTGGGTCCTGCCCTTGGGACAGGACAACAGCCCAGCACGGCAGTGTTCCTCTGTACTTGGAGATGTCTGTAGTCCTCTTCACCCACCTCACAGACAGCCCCGGGGACTGAAAGAGTCCCCTCCATGGCGCCCAGAGTTTTCCTGGCCGCTTCCTACAGTCCAAGGATGAGCTACAGGAAGAAAGGCCTTGCTGAGAGCAGGAAGTGAGTCAACCAGCCACCGGTCAACAGGTAGTGACAGCAGTCAATGACAAAACTCAGTGCCAGTCTCTGAAGGGCCCCCACCATTCTTTCTGAGCCCTGAGTGTCTCAGCTTTGTTTGCTGAATAAGCCCAAGACAGCTCTCTGGGCAGCATACAGAGGGCAGGGCATAAATAACCCGCAGACTGCTTCTTGCTCTTGTTGCCAGGTTCCTCTGAAAGGGGCGAGGAGGGGAACTCAGAGGGGAAATTTTGCAAAAGGCTGCACATTTAGGTCCTTTCAAGGGAGACCAGAGGGATCTGGGGGCACTCAAAGGCTCACATATGAAATCTGAACTTTTTCTGTCTAAGAAAATGCCCCCAAGGTGCTCCTGGCCTGGAAATTGGCATCTGCAGCTGGCAGGAAAGTTGGTGACCCTCACAAGAGAAAAAGTAGGGAGGCTCACACACTTTCATACGCTCACAGAGCTCTTGTGCTTAGTTTGTTTCAGTTTTATCTATTTTTTATGAGTCTCTGAGGTCTCTGCTCTGGACACTTACATGTATTTTGACAGGACAAAGATTTACAAAGACCAAGGCAGGTGTGAAGTGTGATACAGTTATCAAGTTATCTATCCTCTCCAAGGGTGAGCTTACCTACCCCATGAAGAAGGGATGTTACTTTCAGAATTGACTAGAAAGGACATCCGGATGGGGTAACTGAATCTAAAATTACCCCAATTGCTAAATAGGCTGTGTGGATTTCAAGGGTCTGTAAGGGGACTTAATGATCTCTTAGGTCTCTTTGTTTTGACCATGGGGACACTGGGAGGGACAGGCTCTGCTGGAAAGCCATGGGGTTTTGACACTTCTAATGTTGTTATCAACAACTCTCAGGTCTCATAGGGAAATTGGAGAGATGCCCCTCTGTGGCCTCGTTCTGTAGGAGAACAGTCACTGATCCAGATGGTGTCCCAGTGTGCAAAGCAGGGACCTGGTTCAGACAGGTTAAGTCATATGAATGGCACCTCCGTGTCATCTGCAGCTGGCACAAAGCTAGAAAGCAAATTAAAAATAGTCCATAGCACATTCTAGACCCTAAAGATTTAGTCCACGTGGAATAGGCTGAACCGGATGAGCTACAGCCTGCTGAGGATTGCTGGACGTTTTTGTGCTTGGGCCCAAAACCAGAAGCACACAAATCCAGGATGGAGGACAGGAGAAGGAAAGGCCAGGGTCTGTGTCCCCGGTGCATGCAGTGAGTCACCGGGGCAGGTATCTGTCTGCTGGACTGCAGCTCAAGGGGCAGAGCATGGTGCTGGCTGTGTGGTGAGTGGGTTATACCTGGGCACCTGGGTCTGGAACTGGGACTTGGACCCTCCAAGGCCAGCAGAACCCTGAGAGCACACCAGGGCACCAGCAACCAGGAGGCAGGGCTCCTGAAACCAATGCCCATGTGCAAATGCTGAAGGCACCGTGTTCAGAATGGGAAAGAAAGGTGGGGAACATGTGTCCCATTCATTGTTTTAGACCTCCCAGGGGCCCTGTGGAACATGAGGACCTCATGATTTTATGGCCCTATAAGTTTATAAGACCAGGATACAAGGACAGAAGAAAGCAGTAAAACTTCATGCTAAAGCAAACACATAAAAGCTGGGTGTGGTGTTGCACGCCTGTAATCCCAGCATTCAGGAGGCTGAGGCAGGAGGGTCACTGTGAGTTTGAGACCAGCCTGGGCTACACAGTGAATTCCAGGTCAGTCTCACTATGTAATGAGACCCTATCTCAAAAAACCCCCAAAATCAAAAAAATAAACCAAACACAAAATATTTCTGACAGTCCCAGAACTGCAACAAGACAAGGACATATAGGAACAGAGCCCCTTGTCATTGGAAGGGGTCAAGTTCATCTGTCAAGGTCATGTGTGGACTTTTCTGAGTCCTGGGAACTTTATCCTCCATAGACTCTTTCTGATATATAT